AGAGAGAGAGAGTGAGAGAGAGGAAGAGAGAAGGAACATATGAGCTACGCACGAGAAACAGGCTAGGCACGCTTCTCGCGGATCGGCGGCCGACAATGTTAACTATAGCTATAGCTATAACGAAAGAAAGAGAACAACTATGTATGTCCCTCTCCTTCTACTGCTCGAAGTTGACCGAAGTTCCGAGCGCACACGTACACGGCTGTTCGCCTGTGTGCGTATCCCTTGTACCTGCTGCTACATGCTGCAAGAGTCCGCGAATTGGCATTTCTGGCTATCGCCGCGTGATTCGATATTCTCGCTGTGCCGGCAAGTGCTGCCGCCGCGCGGTCGATTTCTTACAGTATTTTTGCTGAAATTTATGACACGTGTTGTTGGCAACTTGTTGTCATGTTGCTCTTTATGTTAGTGATAAACCGTTGACAGCAAATACACAGCATGTTGTCGGCAAAACAGGTTGAATACGTGTCATGTCAAACCAAAGACAAATGCCTGACTCCTTGTTCTAAATTTTCTGAAAACTCAAGCGTTTTGTTTTCAGCAACATGACAGCAAAAACACAGACAGGTGGCTATCAAGGTGGACTTGTTCTTCTAAGATTAGAATCTATAAACAGCGTAAGGAATTAAGTGAGACAGCAAACAACTTAGAAAACGTATTGTATTTAGCGGGAGTTCGCACGAAGAAATCAAGAAGTAAACGCGGGCTCTTTGACTTTGTAGGTGAGGTTAGTAAAACGCTTTTTGGCACATTAGACACAGATGCGGCCTATTATAATCAGGAGTTAGACAAATTGTATAAAAATCAAAGAAACCTCGTACAATATATTACAAATCAAACGAGTATAATACTTAAAACGTTTGCGGGTGATAAAGAGCTTGCGAATGGATTCTCCAGCGCAATAGAACGTATAAATGCACAGTTCAATAAATTTAGAGATTTAAGCCAAGCCTAATGAACTTAACATTTTGATATATGAGAGCCTACTCGACTTGAATAATGAAATGCAAAGACTAATCAGAGAAATAGAGAAATCGGAAAAACTAATTGTTGACGCAAGACATGGTATTGTGCAGCCATATATCCTATCTCCCAGAAAGCTTTTTACTGTCCTTAGAGAACATAAATATGTCGACAATGTTCCTGTACCACTGGAGAAAACATATTATACTACTCTCATAGATATAAGCAATGTATCCATAGTTCTAACTGAAAAACGGTTGTTAGTACAAATTTAATTCCTTTAACAGAAGATAAGATTCTAGAGTTACCTACCCAGCAAACAATTTGGTTGCGAGATGTCGCAGTTTTGTCGCCAACCGCCGGCGAAATTAGTAGACCAAATCCATATCCATCTGTGTCCTCATTAGGATATGGTTTGGCGACCATATCTGTCAAACATGTGAGATGTCAAAATGAGACC